GGTATCCAGAAGTAAGAGAATACTATTCAAATTTATCTGTTTTTTTGCCTTCAGTTCTCTATTTTGCTGGGACCTGGGGTACTAAATCAGCTCCTGGATTCCAGCTGGTATAATCTAGAACAAGTCAGAGACCCAAGTCAAGGGTTCAATTTGCACAAGGGGCTAGATTTAAATAAAGGGATTAGAACATTTACCAGGGGTTCAGAAAAAATGAGGCGCATAAATAAAAAGAAATTGATACCAAAAAATAAAAAAATCATCAACTAATCATGGAGAAAGATCAGCAAAGTGTGCACAGAATTCTGTTTCAGTCTGTGCTTCTGAAGGACATTTTTCTAGCTGTCTACCTTGTCAGTTTTGGGCCTCGCTGTATGTTGTGAGTGTGTTAGCATGCACAGTCGTAGATATAGTGCCAGGGGTCTTGCAACCTACTCTCTTGGCAGTTGATTTTCTGCGCTGGGACCAGGGTCATTCTAGTCTGGGTGTCAACTTTGCCCCTATGCCAATGCTGACAATCATTTCATGCCATCATATAAATGAACTACAAAGATGTTCCACATTTTTGTGGAATAATTTGGTGGCTGGTTTGCTACTCTATAGTTTCATAAATTGGCTGAAACTGTAGGACTTATAATGTGTACCTGGAACGTTTCCCTGGGCCTCAGAAGTAGTTCCCCAAATGAATCATTCTCCCTGCATAAGGAAGAAACATTATGTTCTTATTTTGTGGGGACAACGGAGGTATCAAAATGCAGTTCTAGTTTACAGGAGAAGTTTTTATGGTTATTGTGGCTTAGTGACCTCTGGCTCAAAAGTGTGCTTTTTACTGCAACCATACACCCAGGAAACTAGAGGCCCATGTTCAAGGAACTGCTTACCCAAAGGTGTTCTGAACAGGCACTGCATTCTGACCACCACACCACAGGTCAGGCTCTATTCAGTCTCTTTCTTCCCCTTTGAGCACTCTAATTTTTAAAGTTAAGCCAGTGCCCCTTACTTTAAATAGTCATTAGGTAAACAGCAGTATGGTGGGAAAGTTTCTACTCCATTGAGAGCTAGGTTTCAGGCTTCAATGCAGGGCCTGCACCTTTCTAGGGCAGGAGAATTTTCACTTAAGCACACATCCTCGGACTTGCTCACTTCTTTCTGCCCCACGTATCTTCTGCTTTTGGCTGCCCCCAAGGCAGCTTCAAAAGGAAGGCTGGGAAAGGGCCTGGATAATGCTCGACCTGTGACATGATGGTTAGAGTACTGTGTGTGAAAATCAGAGACAGGTTCAAATACGCTAGCAGGAGGGCTTTAAACATTCATCACCTCCTTTTTCACAGCCTCAAAATTTAATTCCCTTTTACTTCATTTTATTCAATTTCCCACTACTTCCTTCACTGACCCAGACTGCAATTTTAAGTAAAGTTGTCCCCGTTCTTGACTATGGTATCATAGATTTTGGCCTTTCTTAACTTTTCTTAAAGAACCTTTAATATTGTTCTACACTTTCCCACTCAATCAATTTCAGTTATATTTTTCAGCTTATGGGAAGTAACTCCTTTGAAACACCCTCAAAGGGACATAGGCACTTCCATCCAGAATGTAGAGTCTCAAAATCCCCTCCATATTGCTGTAGGCATATACATATCTGCTGCAGGCATGTACAAAGTCCACTCAGGGACTCGGTTACTCAGGAATTAAGTGGCAGAGATTTTCAAGCTGGGTATTCTCCCGTCTAGCTTGCCTGTGAGTAAGAGGTAATGATGGTCTGTGAGATTCAGATTCCAGGCCATGTCTTCTGCCTCCTTCAGAGCAAAGTTTGAGCCCAGATTGCCTCAATCCTGGCTGAACCTTGGCCCCACTGTTCTACTTGGCATTTCCTACTGGCTAACCTAGACTTCACTTGCTGATTTTTATGAATCACATTCTTAGGCACTAGCTGCTTCTACACGCTCCATAGGGAGAAAGGATGTTTAATTTGGTGCTGTGGATTCCACTAAGCTTCAGGGATTTTATGAGTTAGATGCTGCAAAACTGAACTTAAGTCCCTTTTGTGGAATTATATTCAAGTTGACATGAATATTATAGGTTAGACTGTCCTGTTATTGAAAATAATCAGGTCATGATCACCGGTTGCTAGGCAACCACCAACTTTCAGTCTAGTGGTTAATGCTTTATTATCTGCTGTAACAAAGTCCAAAGTAGAATTGTTTTGTACTTTTTAGTTAGAAAATTATCATTTAAAGCTTTCATAAAAGCTAATGTTGTTTCACTACTGAGTAAATGACACAAAAAAAAGTTCCTTCTCCACCCCAATAGCAAGACAATTTTTCTCTCACATAAAATAGACAGGTGCATAAGAGACAGCGAATCCTCTTCCCTGGTTTGATTCAATGCTCTGTAGCAATGTCCATCTCCAAATCCTTCTTGGGGCTTGTTAGCACATTGATCCGTATACATTCAAATTCCACATGCATGGTGGGTTATCGGTAGCTCTAAAACAGGTAATGATGTCTTAATGTAGCTTACTGGAAGCTGAAATTAAACATACTTTTCAAAATGCATTTTCCTGTTGACCAGGTAACATTTAACATCAGACCTTCCCTCCTGATAGTATCTGTAAGGTTACTGCAGTGGTGGCAGATGCCAACCATCAGAAAAAAAAAATATTGTCATTGTTCCTTGGTCCTACTGGCTTTGTATTCTTGACAAAGAAAGAATGCTTTTTTTTCAGAAACAGTGTTTAGAACTGAAATTAAATACATCATTTTACAAGGTTAAATATAATCATGAAAGCACCAATTCTTCAAATGCTGACATTGTAAATTAGAAAATGTGAAAAGGAATAGAGTTTATCTTTGACTTTTTAACCTAAAGACTTGGAATAAAAGGTAGAAATCATAAATAACCATGAGCCAGTGTTTTGGTATCTCTGGCAACATCTTCGGCCATTATAACTAATTTCAGTGTCACAGGGAAAGTCAGCCGGGGACCTTATTAAGAAGTAGCATAGACAATTTAACCACCAGCTATCAGTAGAAAAATCTCACAATCTAAAGGGGTAGACTGTGAGGATAAGAAAAACAAATAGACACAGGTGCCATTTTTTCTCTGAAAGCAATCCAAGTCTTTTCCTTGCACCAGTTCCCAAAAGACAAAGATTCAGTGTACTTACAGACATGGTTCTTTTTAATAGGGTATTCTGGCCTATATGGTACATCCTTTTAGTAAATACAGAATAAACTTAAAGAATGGGGAATTTGGTTATGATCTTACATCCTAATTATGAAAACTCTCAGATTGGTGGTTAGCTTTATGTGTATGAACTAAAAAAAATACTACTTCCAGGCTTATGTTAAACACCTATCCTATATATGCAAAGGGCTTAGTCCACCTGTCTGTGTGTCTGTCTGTCCATAATGCTCTTTAAGCCTGGTGCAGTGGAGGGCAGAGGGAGGGGTCAGATGAGGAAACATGAGATCCGGGCTCCCAGCTACTGTGAGGCTACAGTGAGCATTGGTTTTATTGGAAATTCATCTGTCGTTCTTGACCAGCAATTCGCTAGTGTATATATATTGGTTTGCAGGTTTGGGACTTTAAAAGGTAAAGATAGAAAATACCTTCTCGTTTCCTGAGTCCACCACATCATAGATAGGAGGCAATTTCCTGATGAAGCAAGTGGAGGGAGGGAAGCAAATGAAACAATTTTCAAAAGCACTCAAATCTGGTTTTTGAGTATTTAACAGTGAAGGTACATATTACGTTTAGACTGTCCGTGGAATGTTAAGCAGTGCTGAAGTTAGCATGTGTTGGTAACAGTCTCACCTTAAGGGTTAATACCGTTTCATGCCTGCCCAGGTCTGACTTGCTACTTGAGGGCTGGTGAGACAAAGCATTGCAAGGAGCCAGAACACCTACATTGTATCCATGCTGGGGAGAGGGGAGAAGGCTGAGCACAGTGCATCTCGGGATGCTGTTGGGAGATCGCTCGTTTTATCTCCACGGAGCAGACTGAAGTTACACTAATGCAAGCTAGGTAGACTAGCCCAGAGTTAATCTTCAATTGATGTGGAATATCTTTGAGGCACTCAGAAGGTATGTAGCATGAGTTAATATGTGAACACTCATATTTTAAGTGCCTTAGTACGATCTAAGTGTAACACGAACGTCACCCTAAGTCACATTTGGAGGACTTAGTCTCCACTTACAAACTTAAGTGATCTCAATGGGACCTAAATACCATTACAACATTTGTTCTTAAGTCACTTACATATTTTTGAAGTTTATACCCAATATCTGATGTTAAAACTGATAAAACTTTGATCTCATTAAAAATGCCAAGAAACATCTACTTGGTAACCTATCAAAAAAGAAAACACAGAACATAGCTGAAAAAGAATAAAAGAAACATGATAAAAATAGGTCACACAGAAAATGGAAATCTAAAATTAAATATTTAATTAGAACTTTGATTTTGCTTTCAAGGTAGGTGGCATTGCACAGGCTATATTACAATGTTTTATAATATTTATTTATTTTTTTGCCAAAAAGAATACTGTTTTAACAGGCCACTTTAATATTAATACATGTGTAATAGGATCAGAACTGAAAATCAGCTGGAGATGGTACATTGTACATTATTGGGAAATTACAATTTTTTCTTTTGTATTGTAAAAACATTTATTTTTAACAATTTACCTACATTAATCAAAAAGTACAGCATATTTAATAATTTTACAAATTCTTCATAAAAA